AAGAAATTCCGATAGACCACGGCTTCAAAGCCCGGAAAACATTCCTAAATGTAATCTGACCGGCCGTGAAAGCCTTCATAGTCGTTCTAATGATTGTTCGAATGTTTTTAATCGTTCATCAATTCAACTGAATAACATTCAAGTAAAAGTCATATTTGTAGAAACTGTAGAGTTTTCTTTAAAATTTCCTAGCCAAAGTGATCGATTTTAAAAGTTCACCAATTAGAAATATCAAAATAAAATTTGAATCAAATGGCAAATTTACCGATACTAAGCAGCTACTTTTCTCACCTTTCTCTCATTTGCTTCTCCTTTGAATTTCAAAATAGTGTTTGAAGGGGTGGTTGTCGATGTGTCCTTAACAGAATCTCCAATTTCAGTCTCAATGTTGTTGTTCAAAACCGGAGTATTGCTCTTTTCTATGACGACATCTTTAAGGTGAAAGCTCTTTCTAGTGGTAGGCAATGGAAGTACAGTGGTCGCATTTATTGTATCGCCGTTGCCTTCTCCTTTTGTATCTGTGAAACTGCTTTCTAAGTCTACTTGTAGCGTTCTTGTATGTTCGATACTGATATTCTTGTGCACTATGTTTGTGTCAACGGTTTCATTATTGACTATGCCCTTATCGTTTTCGTATTCAACAGTCGAAGGTTCGGAAGGATGCTTTTGCAAATGCTCCACCGATAAATTTACATCAACAGCTTCCGTATCATCATCATCATCCTCATCCTTCTCAAAGTTGTCCAGTTCCTGGTCGACACTGTCAATAGTTTCTTTAAATGTTGGTTCTGAAACTTTAGCTATTGATGGAGTGGTTTCAGGAGTTTTCTCTACATTTTCAGGCAGGTCAGATACTTCAAACGAATTATCCCTTGCAGGTAATTTAGGCGCAAGAACATCAATTTTGTCATGAAAATCCGAAGCCCATAGCTGGGAAGAGTTGAATTCAATGGCCCTTGAATTGTCTTCCCTGGGCTTATCTCCAGCTAGTTTGAAAGGAGCGATGCTTTCATCTTTCTCCCGTTCATTTACATTTGTAGTTTCATAATTATCCTCATTGGAACTGCCTAGTTTGATGAGCGGAAAGTCTTCAAAACTATTTACATTATTTACAGGTTTAGATTTTAGATCTACTTTTTCAGTCTTTGGGTTTGCTTTCACTATTTTGTTCAGGTCCCTGTTGTTTATTTCGGTTACATTGCGTGCTGGTTCAGGTTGTAAAAGTGGTGCTTCTCGGGTATGGCGTAAACTTAGCTGACCAGTAGGACTACATACTGCCAGTATTAGAAATAGACCTAGAAAAAATGAAAAAGTGTCTAATATTTCAATTTAATATTTTCCAACGCCGTCATCTCCAAAATAAGTTCAATTTTAAACTGTGTAATTGGCTGGTTCAATTACATGTGATACCTTTGAACTTATAGCACTTAACATCAGAACGAAAGGTTAATAAATAGTCAAGGTATCGGTTAATAACTAAAACAATTGTCTGAGCTATAAATAGCGGTTAATAAAAATAACGGTTTATTAGTGTTAAGAGAGCTACCTTTTTGCGTCTCTGAATGTACCCACCCTTGTTTGTAACCAACAAATATAAATTCAAATCTTCATTAAGTTCGATATTTTTGTGGAAATGGTTTTGCCAAACTATTGACCTAAAACCTTCTTTTATTTCCCATTAAAATCGGAGTCTAAATACACTCGAGTGAACCTATAAAGTTCTCCATTTGTCTTGTTTAATGGATTTGTATTTGCTTTTGCTACTTTCAAATATTGCTGCCGGTTAAGTCGAAGACAATTTGAACCAAACATGTAATCAATCCATAAACTTTTTCGCAGTGACATTAATTAGTAAAGAGAGTTTCTAAAGAAAGCGTACTGGTTTTAACATACCTATCATCAGTTGGAGCGGAACTCCCATAATGCAGCATGTTGGCAGCTACTGGTTGATCTGAAACCAAAAAAAACAAAAATCTAAATAAATTCATAATAATTTTATTGAAAATGCGGAAAAACATCAACTTTATAACAATCAAAGTTATTGTAGTTTATCGTTTTGTGAAAACGAAAAATGTTTTAGTAAGTAAATGTTTAGTATTTAAAATTAAAAGTTAAAAAAGTATGCAGTTTTTGCAATTGAATATTCCTATATCATATGCAGAGATTTAATCCTCGGTGTGCTGCATTTATCCTTGTAGATTAATGTTTTTTTGCTATTTATTTATGGACTGACACACTTTCCATGGCCGATTTATTGTTGCTGTATAATTTTATTATACGCGTTACTTGAAAATTACGCCATTTGTGGAATAATAAATTCAATTATTAACGTAATTGGATTTATTTTTTGGCTACGTTAATTTGTGTCGTTATGCCGCGTGATAATGAAGACAAAATGTCGGTGAGTTCATACGCCGATTATGGGTAAATCAGGTAAATGGGTAAAAAAGGCGATGTTTTGTTCTTTCAAGAGAAAAGTATCCAAAAATAGGTTTGTTTTGTTATTTTAGACACGTTTAGTTTAATTTTTGTTCAAGTTCTGTTCAAAAGTTCAGCATTAGGCCAAGCAATAGGTACGATGAAAATAATAGGGTTTTTGGCATAAATCCTGTTAGAAAATCACGTTCAGAAACAAAATCACGTGCAGGGCAGTCCGTACTTTATTCCCAGTATGTTTAGGCCGACAAAATGGGATTTGTTAATTTTTTATAAACAACTTTCAACAAAAAATTGCGTTTTTTTAAGTTTCTCACTTGTAAACTCGGAACGATTGAAGCCATCTTAAGAATTGATAATTGAATTGCGAAGAGAATGAGGAATAATTAGAACCGGAGAAAACTCGGAAAAACCGGACAATTTTGCGTTTTTATAAAAATATTGGACTGTGTTATCACGTAAAAACACTGTGAACCGAAATGTATGAAATTTCCGAAATAATTCAGTTTGTTTGTTGAACTTAACGCAAAAAAGCAGTTCAAACAGTAAAAGACCATGTTGCAAATCATTCTCAAACGAAGCGAATGTGGATAAATATTAAAAACACTAAAGAGTTTGTGAGTTTCAATGCTTCATCCCAAATAACACGTTATTTAAATGCAAAAACACCATTATTTTGAGAAACTGGTATGTTTATTAAGTTTCAGTTAAAATTTGCTATTTTATAATCTTAATCCCATTTGCCTCGAAAATGAAACGAACAGTTCCTGAAAATGTTCCCCATATTTTGACTCAAACAGTGTGTTCTGGCGTTTTTGCAAAATATTCTTCAAAGTATTTAATTCATTTAAATCGCTTATTTCTCCGTTCGATCGAGTTATTTATAGGAAAAGTGGCACCAAATAATTGCAATCGCTAAAAGCACTTTGCTAAAATGCATTCACTGCACTTTCAGCCATTCAGAAACAGCCAAGACCATCATTGCTCTCTTCTTTCTCTTACATTTTAACCTATATTAGTGTAGTTTTTCATTTTCATCACAATCATCATTATTTCAATTTTCATTTTCATTTAAATTGAAATAAGGCACACTGATCAAAGTCATCCACTGAAAATACAAAGCAGACAGAATGAGGAATGATTTCGGACTCGAAAAAGTAAGTAAGTACAAAGCAGACATTTATACATGTATCATTCATAAACAAATAGGCAAAATTAACAGCCTAAAGAGAAAACTGCGAAATGCTTATGAAGAATATAAAAACCAATTACGCTAATATATAAGTTTTTCAATTAACGAAGAGATAAAGAACAATATCTACTTGACTCCAAAGTGAACAGAAATTTCGAACTCACCTTCCCGTTACAATAGGCCGCATTGAAAATCGTCGGTTACGAAGAAACTGAATGCACATAATCGCCTGAAGCTGGTCACGACCGTGTAAAATTTTTACCTCCATTTATTAACCGGTTTGCAAGAGATATTACAGTTTTTTTTCTCTATACTACCTATTCATCTACCTAGATAATGCCAACGGCCAAGCCTTCAATTTATTCCGCCTCGTATTTCCTTATCGATCGTTGATAAATAATTCGTTTAAGCGAAAATTTCCAGCCTCACCTGCTTGGGATTGTTGCATATTTGTTATCTACACCTAGATATATTAATGTTGGCAAAAACCAATATTTTCCACTAATTAATTGCAAAAGAACTTGTAGAACAGTTTCGAGTTATTTTGTCTACATCCTGTAGAAAATTGCCAAAGGAATCTTTGTAACAGAAAAAATTAACATGCATCTGATAGTTTTTACGGCAAACATTGACATCCGGCTCATGCTTCATTAATATACCTGGTCTATTTTACATTCAAATTGACATTATCGTGTGTATTTTTTATGCGTCTGTTGGATAAATATTTTTTAATTAAAATGTCTAGAAAATGTCTAGGAAAACAAACACACTGCACCGATTTACCTACAATTGAAACAGTTAAAACGAGAAGACGTTATGCAATAATTACTCTATTGTTTGGCTTATAATGCGGCATTATTAAATAACATTTAGTGCAAAATGTATACACTCCAGATATCAGCAACTGTATAAAGTTATGCTCTAGATAATGTGGCGGCAAAAAAGGTGTCGCAATGCTCGCATTCTTCCGCCAATTGCGAATGATTGTTTAGGGTCGTTGATTTTTTTTTTGTTTTTAGGTGAAAATCCCATTCGGAGCGTAAAGCCCCATTTATGAATTAAATAATTTGCGCTTAACAGTTAGGAAATTAGAAACTGTTAAGGAGTGCATAAAAATGATGATTTTGGGTGTAAATCGGTCTCGTTAGACACATTTGTTAACTGATATTACTTTTTTATTTAATATTTTCGTTCTTCTGTTCTATTGGCCAGATTGTCTGACGGGTTTCTGCCACCAGCATCAAGCAATGGTCGCGAAAGCCTCAGTTTTTCCATTCCATCGTAGAATTTTTCAAGGCTTTAATTTCCCACATTTTTATGTTTTATTTACTTTTGTACATTGTATCCAAAAGCAAAACATTTAGTCCACTTAAACATAATCAACTAGCATTATGTGAATGAAGATGAAACTGGTTCAAGTAAATATAAATCAATAAATAACTCGATTAATAAGCAAATGCGATCAATTTCAGTTTCTTCACTCTCGGCGGGTAATTTCAATAAAACTTTCATATTCCTGTCTTATTGCAGTTTCAGAAAAAACCACTAATTGATGTCGACATGTTGCGTCTACAAGTTTCAGCAATTCTTCATTCAATTCGGATTGCAGTCAGCTTGTGGTATTAATGCAACTTTGAAAGGCAAATATTAGCATATTCCAAGTACAATTAACCGTAAATTTCTACATGCTAGCCAATATAAAGCCTAAAGTTTGCCGGGAATTATAAAACGATTAGTCACACGATACAGCATATTGTTGCTTTTGTGCCACCCACATCTGGAAATGTTTGTATAATGACGAAATTTAATACACTCCTTTCAATAACAATGTAGACCAATTTTTTATTTTATTTTGTTGAGGATTTTAATACTGTAGGTGGCTCATAAACGCTACTACTTTTTATGAGTTAGTATTAATAATAGTAGGTATAAAGTTGCCTTTTTTGATAAATGCATCAAAAATAATGCAAAATATTTATACAAACACAGTTCCCAAGAGCTAATTTAAAGAACAATGCAAAAGGCGAAACAGTTCCCAAATTTAATAGAGATAAAGCGACAATGGAACATTAAAATAGATAGATTAAAATGCTAGAGCCCTTTGGCGTAATTAAGGATACAACCCCTAATAAGTTACTTTTATTAAGCAAAAAAAATACTTTCACCACCACGTATATCATAGACGAAGCGTTTACAGACTTTCGTATTTTTTTTTTAATTTAATTTATATAAACTTATGGTGTGAACTTGGCTAGTAGAATATGCGACCTAATTTCATATCACCCTGCCTACATATTGTAAATCTTTTAGGCATTTACGTAGAATTCGTTATGTATATTTTCAAAAAAAAAACAGCTGTGCACTTTAAAAATTTCCTTATCTTATCAGTTTAAACAGAATAAAAATTTGAGATCGAAAGAGTGCTTGAAAACATACAATGTCAATATCATCTGCAAAGACACCGAAACACACGTCCAAGAACAGAAATCTTCGAGAGCACTTATTATTATTCATACATTGTCAGTAAAAGCAGACAATGAATGTTTGTTAACATTTAACAAGAAAATTCACTAAAGAACGACTTGGGTTGGGCATATCCTTTGTGCATGTGCTTGGAATATTGGAAAGGTCGTAGTCGTGAAGTAAACTGTCCAAGTTATTGAAATGTAGGTACAGTCCTGTATTTCATACATATTTATAATAATTAGTGGCTTTGTGGTTGGTCGAAGGTTCTTGTGAATAACAATGGCCTTAAGTAAACGCTTTGTTCGATTCCAGTACTAAAAATCCGAATATAGATAGAAAAGACTAAATATTTCATAAAAACAAGTAATTTCAAAGTTGACTTTAGCAACTGTACTTTATAATTCTGATACAACTGTATCTTGATACTGCAAATTTCACATACTCAGAGTTTTATTTGAAATTCCCGGTGATTTCAACGGGCGGTTGAACAACTTTCAATTCAGGTGCATCCATGTATAACTAATTCCTATTTAAACTAAAGTATGTTATAATAACGATTAACTAAAAATGTATTCGGCATAAACAAAGGTCCGTTTCTCCAGATTGCAGGAATGGCGGTCACAAATAAAATCTAGGTTACATTTCACATTTGTGAACTGAAACGAATTATAAATAATAATGCTAAATGCAATTAGTACTACAGATATCAATTAAAACATATTACAATGCAAGTAATACCCACGATTACAATTGCAGACACAAATTACGTAAGTTTTCGATAAGTTCGACAGGCTGCACCATTGTATCACAACATGTAACAATGCGTCCTGGGAAAAAAATGGGACTATTGTTCCTAT